TTAATGACACTGAATATTTGACTATGCTTGCTTTCATAGAAGAAATGTCGTAATAAAAAAAATCTGAACAAATATATTCTAGCCTAAATCTATTCCCACAAGCAAGCATTGTAATTTCAGCCTGATCCAGCAGATGTCTTACCAGTCTCACAGACCACTCCTGCATCCTCTTTATGTGTGCAGTCAGTAACACCCCAGCCTTTGAAGCTGCATTCAGACAATGAGCTCTCCGAGTCTTTACAGTTTATGTCATTCAGCCAGATTGGTCCAGAACCTAAAAAGTATAATAGAACACGGGCCAAAAATAAGACTGTTGTTATCACAGTGTGTTTAAATGTAACATTTAAATGATCTTGTGTTTATACCAATAAATGTGTTTATACCTTCACCATATTGTCCTCCAGGTGTAACTGATATCGCTCCAGGAAAACCCAGCTGATGACGCACCACTTGTGCTTCAGCCAGTTCCCATCCGTCATCACAAACTGTACCTCACTGTCCATCATGATAGACCTCCACATGACCCCAGATCCCCCACCAATCGCACTCTGCCCTCACATTTAGGCTTTGACTCTTCATCTGTCGCAATCAATAAACTTGTTTTTTTAGAGGGTTCATAAACATTTAAAAGAAAGCCCATGTCTAACAATCTGCGAAACAATGAAGGTGTAAGGGTAACAGGTCAATTTAGCTCAAAGGGAATCATTTAAGATTTTATAGGGAATTTGAACAGAATCACTGTTTTTACGGCCAGCGATTCATTGAACGAGCCGTTTAACATAAATTCTGCAATGGATATTAATATCCAAAATATAGTGAAAACACTATTTATTAGCAGAGTAACAAGATCGGCAGTTTAAGACATTAACTTGTAAGCACAAAACACAAGATGCTTCTCTTTTCAATATGAAAAAGACTTTATTGGATAAATCTAAGACCATATTGTCCTCCAGGTGTAACTGATATCGCTCCAGGAAAACCCAGCTGACGACGCACCACTTGTGCTTCAGCCAGTTCCCATCCATCATCACAAACTGTACCTCACTGTCCATCATGATAGACCTCCACATGACCCCAGATCCCCCACCAATCGCACTCTGCCCTCACATTTAGGCTTTGACTCTTCATCTGTCGCAATCAATAAACTTGTTTTTTTAGAGGGTTCATAAACATTTAAAAGAAAGCCCATGTCTAACAATCTGCAAAACAATGAAGGTGTAAGGGTAACAGGTCAATTTAGCTCAAAGGGAATCATTTAAGATTTTATAGGGAATTTGAACAGAATCACTGTTTTTACGGCCAGCGATTCATTGAACGAGCCGTTTAACATAAATTCTGCAATGGATATTAATATCCAAAATATAGTGAAAACACTATTTATTAGCAGAGTAACAAGATCGGCAGTTTAAGACATTAACTTGTAAGCACAAAACACAAGATGCTTCTCTTTTCAATATGAAAAAGACTTTATTGGATAAATCTAAGACATATAAACTAATCTAACACATGAACACACGCATTCACACAAGTTGCAGAAAGAGAGAAAGTGAGGAAAGAATGAGTTTAAGAAAATGAAAACGTGAAAGTTTATAGCAATCTGTGAAATTGCATAGACATGAGCAACCATTAATAACGTAATTAACCCTCGCATTGAGTTCCTTATATTAAATCCACCAGTTCAGCACAGAATCTGGAGGCAAGTTACTTGCGTTGCCTGTGTAAAGGGGTTCCCTTTGTTGTTGTCGAAAAGGGGGTTTCCCGAGGTTGCTGATTGGCTGGAAGTTCAGTCTTGGGAAGCCAGTGGTTGGGTGTTGGCTGACCATGCGGAGTTGTGGGCTGGTTGAAGTTTTAGATGGCACTCGAGGTTGGACTCTGAGACACAACATTAGGCAAAACATAACTCAGAACACGAAACTCTCAACGGAAAAGAAAAAAAACTAAAGTAAAGAAATAGAAGTAAAGTTTGACGAGACTAGGTGGCGTTTCTCCTCATGGTTTTGGAGGAGCTGGCATGTAAGCCAGAGCACGCTCAAAGAGCGCAAAAAACGATGACTGAAAAGTACGGCTACAAGCCATGACCAAAAAAGCTAAAGAGCTAAAAGGCGCGATGACTAAAAAACATAGCTCAAAGCTATGACTAAAAAGCCGCATGGCTAAAAGTGATGACTTGAAGCAGTGGCTAGAAGCTAAAGCTAAGAAGCTAGATGCTAAAAGCAATGATTTGCTGGTGTCCTGCGTATTTAAACTGGGCTTTTGGACACATTCCAAATGGTGCCTTGACCAATTAGATATAGTCTTTGATCGGGGTGTTGTATATTTCTCCTCCCAATACATAAATCAACATGTCATCTCATCAGTTACATGGTCCCGAGTTTTCCCGCTCTTGCAGAGTATAATTTTGGACATGATTTCTATAACAAGAATATGATACATTTGACAAAGAATTGATTGGAAGAAATGTTTCAAGCATGAAGATTCAAACACACACATACTAAACATGAATATGACCCCTTAAGCTATTAAATAGTAATTAAAAAAAGACTAACACAATAAGTGATTAGAACATGATAGTCGAATGTGTGGGTTACATACATGATATGGAGTTAAGCAATGGACTGATATTAGTTTATAAGCCTTTTTGAGTTCATTTTGGTGCATCTACATCTGTAAAAGACTGTTTCTGTGCCATTCTGTGAACATAAGGACATATTCTGTGAGGACCCGAGAGGTTAAAAGATCTCCTAAGGAATTTCAGTCTGGTTCTTTTCTTCTAGGTGGGGGGAAAAGTCAATCCAAAGAGCTCGTGATCATGATTACTATCACTGGTTTACATGTGATGGTCATGCTGTGCATCTCTTTGACCATTAATCTTGCATACTTGCCCCAAAATTGACAATCTCCTTTCTGAGTTGTTATGATCAGTGTGTTATTTTGTGTTAATGTTGAAAGCTGTTCTGTGAAAGAATTGGTTGGTTAGGCTTGCTTCAGACTGTCTGGTGCTAGGATCTGATTTATGAACATCCTGTTGTCTTCTGCCTTTCTGTGGAATTCGGCTCCTTGTGTAACCATGTTCTTGATTGAATCTTAAATTGTCTGATTGGGTCTGATACCCTACAAAGGCTATATTTAAGATAAACAGCTTTGCCAAAAAATGTTGGCGATAGTACAAGCCAACATTGGAGAGCCACAGTTGTGCAGAGTTTTGCTCCAACCTTTATAAAAACTCACCTTGCCTGTAGCTTTTTGGTAACCCTTAGAAATGTATTAGCTTTTTTAGGTATGTTTGATTATGGTTGGCGCTGAAGTCTGTAGGACTGTGGCTCTCCAGGACTGGCCAATGTCAGTCCTGGAGAGCCACATTCCTGCAGACTTCAGCTCCAAATCCTAAAGTAGTACTATAATCTTATATTTGTAGACGCATGCATTTTTTGTGTAATATTTATAAAGAAAGTGCAAATGCAAATTACATTATGTAATTTTAAAACAGCTGTATATAGGCTACTAACCAAACAGGACACATGGAAAAATATGTCCATAACATATACATGATCATTTTCTTGCTGGAAACTCTTTAAAACAACAAAGCAGGATGAACACAATTCATGAAGGTTCTTACTGAAGACGTACGGACCGTCTTGCTTTCATTAAATATCTGCTAAATGAGGTCAAGCATTGTGAGATATTGCTTACATGATCTACAACTGTCCAATCACATTTAAAGTCTACCTTGAAGTTTCATTTCACGAGAAAGCAAATTCAGGAAACCTGAATAACTACAGTGTGCATGTTCAAACAAATCCTGTTTGAGTTTGCTACAAAAACCTTTCACACAATGCAAAGAGGAGGTTCTCAAGCCATTTCTCAGCACTGGTGTACGTACATAAAAAGTCTATGCTCAAATAAACCTGACTGTTTTCGGTTTTATTTTATTCCTTTCCACGAGACCTTTTGAATCTGGGTGTTGGCATTCCAGTGACTTCTGTGACTGGACCTGGCTTTGAAACGGATTTGAGCATGACGCAGCTGAAACACTCAGGATTGCTGCAGATTATTGTCACGTATATTATTATACATGGGCTTTTATATACTGATAACTGTACATTTAGGATCTGAACAGAAATTCAAGAGTTACAGTACAACAAAAGGTTCATAAAGTACTCGCAAGTCTTTTACAAGAAAAGATATTGCAAAATGAATAAATGTAAATATAAATACTTTTTATGGTCCACCCTTTTGCCAACCCTTTTATGGTCCACTGTCATCTCAATTTGAACAGGGTGGACATTAACAGCTGGACAATAAATAATCTTTTTTTGACTAAGAGGACAAAGCAACACCTGTTGCAATACTTAACACATCATTTTAATAAATTGATAGAGGGTGAATTCAAGTAAAATGGGCCGTTTAAGATTGATTACACTGTGCTCAAACGATTTACACTTTCAGAGTATAACAATGGTCTTTTATCAAAGGGACACTGTTTCTTAGAATAAGAAAACCGTTTTGGCTGATGCTATATGACACTGGTGGGTGTGAACACATCTAAAAGGAGAACTCATGAAATGTAATCTCTTTCACATTCAGATCTTTATTTCAAACTTTGGTAGGTTCCTCGCTAAAACAATTATTGTGTTTTTTGTTAACATGAATTAAAACACAAAGGATTTGTTAAAAACGTTTAGTTTTTATTGTAAGGTGAATATTGCTGGCATACTTTGGCTGAAGGTGCTAGATAAAATTGGCCCACTTTGAACCTTCACTAATTCACATTCATTAATACACTGACATTCACTGATTATTTTCATGTACATTTAGTCATTTAGCGACTTACAAATGAGGACAATTGAAGCAATCAACACCAACAAAAGGGCAATACCCAATAAGTACTGTGATAAGTGTCAGTTAGCCAAACGCAGTACACATAGCAAGTTTTTTATTTATTATGATTTTTTAATGGTTTTAAGTTTTTTTTTTTTTTTTTTACAAGTTAATGATTGTAAATTATTAACTGATAATTTAATAAATGTTGATGAGGCTAGTTATATTTAATAAATACAAAAATGTAAACAAATCTTAAAAATTAACACTGGTCGGTCAAAGAGGAATCAAACTGATAGAGATCATGTATTTTTTGAAGTGCACTTTCAAGCATTTTTATTTCTACAGTGTTTAAATGAAGTTTAAAATCAGCTGAAACATTTAAGAGAAATCACTGCAGAATCAAATAACAATTTTTAAAAACTTGACTGAATTTAATAGATTTGATTCAACTAGATATGAATATAATGGAATGACTGTTACTGTAGGAAACTAGCTGAAGCCAAATATAACTCCGTGCAGTCAGATATACTCTGGACGCACTACAAATCTAAAACTGTAGTCATCAGGACAGGGGTTTGGCAGATCCATACTGCTGTTATTTGGAACCACTGCCATGCTGTTTTTGAAATCTTGAACATGAAAGACATTGTTTTCATACTTACAGCTGAGAATCAACCTGTTGCTGTAGCGAATGGTGCTAGTGTATCTTTCCTGATTGCCATATCCGTAAAACCTTGCAACAGGAAAGGATGTACATGACATACCATAGTTAGAGCATTCCTGAGCACTAAGAAACACCTGGGCTTTCCACTGGACCTTTTGTTCTCTGTAAAGAGCACTAGGGTATGCTGGAGTGGAGAAGGTTTGTATTCTGTTATTTTGGCCATAGTGATAGTATGGGTAATTGACGGTTGTGTCATTGATAATTACACTCCACTCATCTCCAGTGTAGATTCTGGATAGATACTCACTACTCATGTTATCCATTTGATTCCTGATCTTAGAGAAGGGCAGAGCATTGAACTGAAAACCTCTGAGCAGACCAGTTAGGTACAGTTTCTCATGATTCTGACGGAGAACGCTTGAGGAAAACTGCGTTTCATACAGTTTATCCACTGGGATTAAGAGGAAGCGGATGTGATTCAGGAGACTGGCCTGTTGATCTGAACTAATCTCCTCACCTTTGTCTTGGATCCATGTCTCCAGAGCTTCAAGAAGAAAAGCTTCATCATTCACAATCAGGTCTGAGCGCTGCAGCAGAGCGTCCATCATGTGAAAGGAGATGGTGCTCCACACTGGAGAGCTTATGAGGTACTCGCAGTTCCAGGAAAGATACTGAAGGACGTTCTCCTGCAGAACAAGATCACCTGTGCGAACGCCGTACTCGTACATGGATACCTGTGTAAGGAAGGTGTTGTCTTCAGGAAGGAGTAAAGTGAAGGTCCTGCCGACATCCTCCATAAGCTTCTTCACTCCAAAGATAAACGCCAGCTGATGCAGACATTGAGCAGACGTGATGGAAACATCAATCTGACGTGTGTACAAATACCTGAGAGGCATGAAGCTGAAACTGTGCAGTGAAGAAAGAAATTAAGTCAAAGAAAATGTAGATGCAGAGTATAACTATTCAAATTATGTTCACAATTAAAATTCAGGGATTAGAGAAAATTATATGAATGTCAACATGTTTTGATTTTATGCATTAATTGAGTAAACTTATAAATTTTACTCCTATATAGCTTTAACTTACTCCTGTAGCCAAGGCTATATGTTGTTGGGTTTGCAAAATATGTTTGCTTGATAATATACATTAATAGTAGCTGTAAATCAGACACATTAATCAAGATAAAAAAAGTATCCAATACCTAGTTAATGCCTAATGAATGTGATCATTCTCATATATAGATTTATTAAACAATTACCTTTTGTGCAAATGTGTCGTGTCAAAATAAAACCTAACGTCTTAAGTGACCACTATTTCTTCCTATGACTTACTATTCTTTCAAAATGAGACACCACTGCCACCATTTCTGTTAAAGGCTATTACAATTTAATGGTTGTGAATTATTAACCGGTAATTTAATACATTTTGATGAGGCTGGTTATATTTAATAAATAAATACATTTAAATAAATAAATCTTAACAATTCACACTGATCAGTCAAAGAGGAATCAAACTGATAGAGGTAATGTAAGAAATATTTTTATTTTTTTAAGTGCACTTTCAAAATGAAGCATTTGTATTGCTACAGTATTTGAATGAAAAGTTTAAAATCAGCTGAAACGTTTAAGAGAAATCACTGCAGAATCAAATAGCATTATTTAAAAAAAAACTTGACTGAATTTAATAGATTTGATTCAACTAGATATGAATATAATGGAATGACTGTTACTGTAGGAAACTAGCTGAAGCCAAATATAACTCCGTGCAGTCAGATATACTCTGGACGCACTACAAATCTAAAACTGTAGTCATCAGGACAGGGGTTTGGCAGATCCATACTGCTGTTATTTGGAACCACTGCCATGCTGTTTTTGAAATCTTGAACATGAAAGACATTGTTTTCATACTTACAGCTGAGAATCAACCTGTTGCTGTAGCGAATGGTGCTAGTGTATCTTTCCTGATTGCCATATCCGTAAAACCTTGCAACAGGAAAGGATGTACATGACATACCATAGTTAGAGCATTCCTGAGCACTAAGAAACACCTGGGCTTGCCACTGGACCTTTTGTTCTCTGTAAAGAGCACTAGGGTATGCTGGAGTGGAGAAGGTTTGTATTCTGTTATTTTGGCCATAGTGATAGTATGGGTAATTGACGGTTGTGTCATTGATAATTACACTCCACTCATCTCCAGTGTAGATTCTGGATAGATACTCACTACTCATGTTATCCATTTGATTCCTGATCTTAGAGAAGGGCAGAGCATTGAACTGAAAACCTCTGAGCAGACCAGTTAGGTACAGTTTCTCATGATTCTGACGGAGAACGCTTGAGGAAAACTGCGTTTCATACAGTTTATCCACTGGGATTAAGAGGAAGCGGATGTGATTCAGGAGACTGGCCTGTTGATCTGAACTTATCTCATCACCTTTGTCTTGGATCCATCTCTCCAGAGCTTCAAGAAGTAAAGCTTCATCATTCACAATCAGGTCTGAGCGCTGCAGCAGAGCGTCCATCATGTGAAAGGAGATGGTGCTCCACACTGGAGAGCTTATGAGGTACTCGCAGTTCCAGGAAAGATACTGAAGGACGTTCTCCTGCAGAACAAGATCACCTGTGCGAACGCCGTACTCGTACATGGATACCTGTGTAAGGAAGGTGTTATCTTCAGGAAGGAGTAAAGTGAAGGTCCTGCCGACATCCTCCATAAGCTTCTTCACTCCAAAGATAAACGCCAGCTGATGCAGACATTGAGCCGACGTGATGGAAACATCAATCTGACGTGTGTACAAATACCTGAGCAAAAACAGATACTGTAAGTGTCTAACACCAATAATATAATCAGTTCTGATCTGCACAATTCAAATTCTCAAGGAGACAGTTGGTTTGAGCTATGAAGTAAAGTGGTCTTTAGAAAGTTACCTGAGAAAAGCAGAGACATGAGGATGGCAGGTCTGGCTGACATTCACTGCGATGTTTCTGGAATCATTTGTTATGTTTAGTTCTGGATAAAACATGAGGATCATTTTGTGCACACAGAATGTCAGTTCTTCTTCTTCACTGGTGTCTTGTACATTAATTCTGAAATCACAACCATCTCCACTGTCAAACAAAAGGCCAAGATCATGAGACAAACCCAGACTGTTATCCACAGAGAACTGACGATTGCTGGTTATGTTTTTACCTGCAAAGAAAATGTAATGAATTGCATTAAATAATACAAATAACAGAAATACACATGCGAATATATGTAGTTGCTGAGTTTCTTACCAGTCTCACAGTCCACTCCTGCATCCTCTTTATGTGAGCAGTCAGTAACACCCCAGCCTTTGAAGCTGCATTCAGACAATGAGCTCTCCGAGCCTTTACAGTTCATATCATCCAGCCAGATTGGACCAGAGCCTAAAAAATATATATATAGAATATGGATTAAAAATATAAGACAATTATTGTTATCACAGTCAGTGTTGCCAGATTATTGGACGGTTTTGAATTTGATTGTGCGGGTAAAAATTGGCTTGGGCAGGTGGACAAAATTTGGGCTGGTTTGTGGTCAGTTTGGTGGTTTTCAATCATATAAATTGCATAAGCTAATTGTTTAACAAACAAGCCCAAGTATGCATGTACTGCATCCAATCAGTCATCACAACGTTAGCCTACTACACACACACACTGCAGAGACGTTGGTGCTGATGTAAATGTCGACAGCCACACTTATGACGAGGGCTCAGCAGACAGACGTTATGATTCATGAGTGACAAGTTTTTAGCATGATAAGTTATAACGTATCTGATTTTGAATGTAGTGACTGTATATTCAAGTTAAAAATTGGCTTGGGCAGGTGGACAAAATTTGGGCTGATTTGGGGTCAGTTTGGCGGTTTTCAATAAATTGCATAGGCTAACAAAACAAGCCCAAGTATGTATACTGCATCCAATCAGTCATCATAACGTTACTAGACATACACACACACTGCAGAGGCGCTGGTGCTGATGTAAACGTCGACCGCCACACTTATCAGAGGGCTCAGCAGACAGATGTTATGATTCATGAGTGACAAGTTTTTAGCGTGATAAATTATAACGTATCTGATTTTGAATGTAGTATGACTGTTTATTCAAGTAATCACAATGCCTAAATATAAGTTAAGGAGTGGGAGAGTGACTCATCTCTCAAAATGTGAATTATTGTGGAGTGAGATGACACGAAGGCTCTATCACTGCAACTCCGAAATCAGAGCACATTTGAATTAATCATAACCGAAACTAAATATGTCGGTTTATACGATCATGTCTTTTATCTTTTAAATGTCCAGATTGATAAATCCTTGAAAACGGCTAGACTTGATCAGTTTTGACCGTGCAAAGTTCTGTATTATGTTCTATAATATGAATTTAACAAGAGGCTTCCTCTAGTTCTGTGTAAAATTATAGAGTGACACGAAGGTAAGCGCATTATTGTTGTTGTTATTTTTTTAATTGTCGGATTATAATTAAGTATCAATGAATGACACAGTTTAGGGTTGACTGTCATGGTGTGCGCATGAACGAGTGTGAAATACATGCTAATTACGTAGCTTTTTTCTATCACTTATATTGGGCACTTTTTGCATTTAAACTGGATTATTCTGACTTCTGACATTGAAAATCATGCATGTGTTGTTTCGAGGGTATCGGTTAATTTCATGATTGCCGTTTTGACAGTGTCTGCTTGCATATTTTATTCATGTTTGGTAGCCTAATTCTCTTTAATGTAGGCTATTCGCCCCGATTCGATTGGTATACCTGCGAAATTTATCTAATTTATATGATTTTGTCATCAATATTTTGTTTTAAGGAGTTAAAATGGCCCTTATCAACCTTGATTTACATTCTATAACATTATTTTTGACAGTTAAAGTTTTGGGTGGTTTTTGGGCAGGTTTTTGTGAGCTTTTGGGCTGGAAATCGTCCATCCAATCTGGCAACACTGATCACAGTGTGTAACAAATAAACTGTGCTGTGGAGCTTATACCTTCTCCATATTGTCCTCCAGGCTTAACTGATATCGCTCCAGGAAAACCCAGCTGACGACACACCACTTGTGCTTCAGCCAGTTCCCATCCGTCATCACAGACTGTACCCCACTGTCCATCATGGTAGACCTCCACACGGCCAGATGACGGCAGATCCCCCACCAATCGCACTCTGCCCTCCTGCTTTGGCTGCTTTAGTCTGTCATCTTCAGCCAGTGACAGAAGATTTAGAAGACAGAAATGTAGATATAATAGTGACATGCAGTCATCATTTTAAAAGCAAGTTTTTATTTACTAACCATACAGGGTCAGATGTTGTGCTGAAACGTGAAGAAACAGCAGAGGCCATAGAAGGTACATGATTCTTCTTTTGCTGGAAATATTGTGAACAGCAGCGACAGGAACACAGTTCTCAAATGGGTTGAGTTACAAAACATCTTTTCCTTTAAATAACGACCAAATCAAGTCAACTGTGAAACTTGGATGAAATGTTGTGTAATCACATTTGAGGACTACCAAAAGTTTCATTTCATGAAAATGCTACATTTGGGAAGTTTCATTACCGCAACATACGCATTTAAAAAAAGAACTGTCTGTCAGCATGTCTGGACTAAGCTTAGCCACATGCAGTGTAAGTGAAATCAGTCAAACCAAATTCACACAATATAGAAAGAAAGTGATTAGTTAATTTCATACGTCTTCTCCCTGTCACAGCCAAGAACGCAGTTCCACAGCTGTCATCGCCTCTAATCATGGACAAGGCCAGCCACCAGCTCTTTGCTGACAAGCTAATTTTATCAGAAGGCCTGGGGCCCGTTCTTTGTACGTCGCTAACTCAGTTAGCTGGATTTGATTGTTGACGATTTCGCCTGATCTTCGATTGTTTGGTTCTTCGAAGCTCATCTCGGAGCTGCTGTAATAGCAACAGGTCTGTTAGCTTAAACTTGCTCGGGAGCAGGCTTATTTCATGTAAACAGGATTAGATCGCATCTTTTTAAGCAGAATTGATACTTAATATCTGTGCAATCCGACAGTAAAATTACTCTTTTGCCCAAACATCAGTAAATATAGAAATGACAGATTTTTACTCAGAACATGTCTCTGTTACTTTTACAGGTTATGCCAGAAATCATGGTGGGGGCCAGCATGAGATAAAAAA